TCATTCGCAAATCAATTTGGTTTTCACTGGAGACTCAATTGAAACTCTCGTTTAGGATGTTCTTCAACTGAATGTGCTGTACGCAGGCCATCTCATGTTTCAGTTGGTACGATATTCGAGATATCGCTGTGTATTTTCGTGAAGGAAACTACTCACAAGGTTGCTGAAAACTCTTCGACAGCCCACGAACAGTTTCGTCCTTCTTGGGGCTCATCAGGTAGGCGAGGCCCACGAGTTTCCGTCAACCTTATGATCCACTTGAACCCAAATTGCACTGTTCTCGAGAAATACACTCATTTGCAAATCAATATGGTTTTCATGAGAGACTCAACTGAATCTCTCGTTTATGATATCCTACGACTGAATGTGCTGCACACAGGCCGCCTCATGTTTCAGTTGTCACGATATTCGAGATAACGCAGTAAATTTCCATAAAGGAAACTACTCACAAGGTTTCTGAGATTCACCAGGAGCCCAGCGGAATCCCTCGTTTTTTGGGGTTTTTAACTATCACAACAAGAGATTCAGCTGGGTTCTAGATGAGTCTCTCATCAAATCCAGATCAGTACGCAAATAAGCGTACTCGTCGAAAACAGGTTCAAGTAGAACAATGGGTTGACGGAAACTCGGGGACTGCGTCTACTTGATGAGCCCCAAGAAGGGGGAAACCGGTCATGGGCTGCCGAAGAGTTTTCAGCAACCTTGTGAGTAGTTTCCTTCACGAAAAAACAGCGATTTCTCGAATATCTTACCAACTGAAAAATGGGGAGGCTTGTGTGAGCACATTCAGTTGTAGGATATCATGAACGAGAGATTCAGCTGAGTCCCCGTCAAAACCAAATAGAATTGAAGTATACCCAATCCTATTTAAATCCGTCACCGCCTGGAGCCAAAGAGGCAAACAAATTACGATAGATTCTCGAATTTCCGATACGTAATATGCAGGTTAGGTGGTCGTTCTGCTTTGAGATCTCGAAATAAATGCGCGCTTAAGAGATCAGTCTTCTTCAAATGCTCGGCAAAACGTGGATGACCTGAGCAGACAGCAGTAGCGAAATATTTTGAAAAATTCCGTTGTTCTAAACCCCCAAGTGAAGTGAAATTCATTGATGGCACAAGATTTGCTCCGCCAGTCGTGTTGTGAACCTCCGAGGGACTCCATAGCTTAGAATTTTGTCTGAACTGGTGACATCAATGAGGAGGGTAACCGGGGACCTGTCTACCGTCCAACTGGACATCGGTTCGCTCGGTCCCCAGGGAATCCACGGTGCATGACACATGAAACAAGGCTGGATCGTCACTTGTAGAGTCTGTCCACATTGATGGGCAAAGTGGACTGGACTACATGGTACCGACGGAGCCGAATTCAGCTCCTGAATGAACGGGCAGTAATGTAGTGGTCTGACGAAGTAAGTTCAGCTGTGTCCCAAGGAGACTGCTACCAGAGGTAAACTGCGCCCGAGGAAAGAGCGAATTCACCATTTCCCAGATTTATTGCCATCACGAGAAATACACTGTATGCGAAAAGTAGTGCTTTCATGAAGAGAACGATCTAGTCATCATGGATGTGTCAAGTAAAGGTTAAACTCATGGCGTTACCTCTTCAGGTAGGCAGGAACTGGACGACAATGTTAGCTAAGGCGTTCAGTCGAACAGTAAGAGACAAAAATCATGACACTGCTGGCATTAAACATCCGGCTGGATGATAAAACATTTTAAAATCATTTATTATTCATGTAAGATTATAGTTGTGAAGGGGGCGGCCACGTGATAAGAGACACGCGAAACAAGGCAGACGTGCTTAATCTGATTTGTTGGCGAGTGGGGTTACGGGCGCGATGACACGCATATGACATGTTGACAAGGTGTTAACGGCTTGATTGGTTGAGGTGAAATGTTATCGGAACTCTATACTTAGTTTCAGTCACCCAGAGATTAGGCGGCGATACAGCCCCATCTGTAAGTCTCGTTTGCGATTGATACGAGGAAAGACTTTGACCCACATGCGATGGACTGTCCACAGTTGGAGATGTTCACAACCAGGGCGAAACCGGTCGTGGGCTGTCGACGGATTTTCAGCAACCTTATGAGTAGTACACTACGAAGATATACATGTTCACAACCATTTTGCCTAAACTGTTGTTAGACACATAGACTAGGGTAAACATGATCTGGAATTCCTGGATCTCTCCATTTAAATCAAAATAAACGTGTCTGACTTTTGTTGATAAACTGGTCAGCAGAACGACCTGTGCCCATCGGGTACAAGTCGATTTCTGTTATTTTGATGTTCTGAACTTTACAAATATCCGACTATTCCCAGAGTTCAGTCTTAGCAAAGGATTTAAAGCGGAGCCAATTAAAGAGATGGCCTAACCAGAATAGTGAAACTGTACACTATGAAATGCTTGCTTTCTGGCCAAGATTCATTCTAACATACAAAGTTGGGATCTCGGCCCATGCGACAACCTGTCTTCTTCTCAAGAACAAAAATACAATAAAATAAATCGTCCAGCTGTAGCACCCTATTCGGTGTCAAGCTGCCATGCCACACGAAGGAGGCAAGAGGGCTGGGATACTGCCAGGTTGCCCAAGCCTAGACAGGGGAAGTCGAGAGGCAGAGGTCGGGTTCGAACCACGGACCTTCTGGTGAGTAAATTCGCGCTCTAATCACTTGATCCATCTCGCCCCCTTCTCAAGAACAGCGGCTATTCCCCCCGTCAGTTAGCTATCAGGTAGCTGGACAATATCAAAAGAAACCATTAAATTGGAGATATTGCGCAGAAGTCTGAATGAAGTCCAAGCCACAGGTGTGGATGATAACGATGCCGTCAGCGGCGCTCTGGAGTACAGTGAGCGAATACATACTGAAGCTACAACCAGTTGTCAAGTGGAAACAAAAAAACTGCATAATTCTCGCCTCTACTGACTACTAACTACTTGCACAGGCAGTGCCAAGTTTTGTCTTCATTGGTCACCTCAGATTAGGTAAACAAAAGTAGATCTATTGATTTTCCACATTCGAACTTGTTCAACGAAATTGGTGAGGCAACAGTAATGACGGAGATTTGATTTGCACTCAGTGTTAACGTATTCAATTGCTTCCTACGTGTTTGTAACGCGTACACGCCCTGGATCCGAGGACAGCGATTGATCGCACAGAGTGATCGATTTCCCCCTAATTTGTCGTCTATATTAACTCAAGACCAGTTTTCCAACGGAGACGCGCCGAAGTTTGTACAACGCGCGCTCAACTTTTCGCGGCTAAATGTCGTTTCTTTCTGCTCGTCTGGTGTGCGCGCCAGCCAGCAAGGAGAGATGAACAAAATGAACAACAATTTGCCCAAGGGTTTCATCAGTCTGTTCCTGACTATCATGGAATAGAAAACTGTCGCTGATGGAAGCGGAGAACGTGTAAACAAGTGGGGATAAACCGGGATAAATAGCGCAAGGATTCTAACCCATTTAGACCGAGGTGATTTGAAAGTTATTCAAAACTGTTCAGCTCAGAGAGAGAGACCCATTCGAAGAAAAATTGATTTCCTGAACAGTCACCATGCAGTGGACAATCTGTCGAAGAGAGTCAAATCGTGGAGACTACAGAATACCTAGTTGGATAAACCAGTCAGTAGCTCCGAAACCGTACCAGGTATGGACACATAGGAAACTGCATTTCAAAGCCCATAAAGAGACGGATACCAACAGTGCAATGGCTAAAACCGTGTCTTTGTGCGACCGTTCGCCGCAGTCGAGGAACGAGTACCATGAAAATATGATATGCAGACAACTTTCCAAAGGAAATGTCGGATACTTAACAAAATGTCACATTCATTTACTACAACCGGGTTCTATTGACCAACATAAATGTACAAAAGAACTGCCAAGGTTTTGCACAAAGCGGTGTGAGTTTTGGACAGGGTTGCATATAACTAACTAAGTAAGCAAGTAAGTAGGTAGGTAAGTAAGTAAGTAAGTAAGTAGGTAAGTAAGTGAGTAAGTAAGTAATTAAGCAAGCAAGCAAGCAAGTAA